TACCCACACAACAGTACAGGCAGGTGACAGAGTACCTAGATACCCACACAACAGTACAGTCAGGTGACAGAGTACCTAGATACCCACAACAGTACAGCAGGTACAGTCAGGTGACAGTACAGTATTAGTACCTAGATACCCACACAACAGTACAGTCAGGTGACAGAGTATCTAGATACCCACACAACAGTACAGTCAGGTGACAGAGTATCTAGATACCCACACAACAGTACAGTCAGGTGACAGAGTACCTAGATACCCACACAACAGTACAGTCAGGTGACAGAGTATCTAGATATCCACACAACACAACAGTACAGTCAGGTGACATAGTATCTAGTACAGTCTCAGATAGTACCTAGATACCAACACAACAGTACAGTCAGATGACATAGTACCTAGATACCCACACAACAGTACAGTCAGGTGACATAGTATCTAGATACCAACACAACAGTACAGTCAGGTGACATAGTACCTAGATACCCACACAACAGTACAGTCAGGTGACAGAGTATCTAGATACCCACACAACAGTACAGTCAGGTGACAGAGTATCTAGATAGCCACACAACAGTACAGGCTGGTGACAGAGTATCTAGATACCGACACAACAGTACAGCCAGGTGACATAGTACCTAGATACCAACACAAAAGTACAGTCGGGTGACAGAGTACCTAGATACCCACACAACAGTACAGTCAGGTGACATAGTATCTAGATACTAACACAACAGTACAGTCAGGTGACAGAGTATCTAGATACCCACACAACAGTGCAGGCTGGTGACGTAGTACCTAGATACCCACACAACAGTACAGGCTGGTGACAGAGTACCTAGGTACCCACACAATAGTACAGGCTGGTGACAGAGTATCTAAATAGCCACACAACAGTACATGCAGGTGACATAGTACATAGATACCGACACAACAGTACAGTCAGGTGACCGAGTATCTATATACCCACACAACAGTACAGGCTGGTGACAGGGTACCTAGATACCCACACAATAGTACAGGCTGGTGACAGAGTACCTAGATACCAACACAACAGTACAGTCAGGTGACGGAGTACCGAGATACCAACACAACAGTACAGTCAGGTGACACAGTACCTAGATACCAACACAACAGTACAGTCAGGTGACAGAGTACCTAGATAACCCATACAACAGTACAGTCAGGTGACATAGTATCTAGATACCCACACAACAGTAGAGTCAGGTGACAGAGTACCTAGATACCAACACAACAGTACAGTCAGGTGACAGAGTACCTAGATACCCACACAACAGTACAGTCAGGTGACAGAGTACCTAGATACCCACACAACAGTACAGTCAGGTGACAGAGTACCTAGATACCCACACAACAGTACAGTCAGGTGACAGAGTATCTAGATACCCACACAACAGTACAGTCGGGTGACAGAGTACCTAGATACCCACACAACAGTACAGGCTGGTGAGAGAGTATCTAGATACCCACACAAAAGTACAGTCAGATGACATAGTACCTAGATACCCACACAACAGTACAGGCTGGTGACAGAGTATCTAGATACCCACACAACAGTACAGTCAGGTGACATAGTACCTAGATACCCACACAACAGTACAGTCAGGGGACAGAGGAGACACTATAACCAGCTTCTTATAGGAACAATTATTAGAAGTACTTTGGAGTGGCTGCTGCATCGGAGGAGTTGGCACGCATGGGAATTCCCAGTGTGCAGTGACGTCGATTGTGATAACATAAAAATAATATGACATATTCAGTCGTTGAAATGCAAGCCATACTGCCTGGATGACACTAAAGTGTTTCTTAAATAAATCAAAAAAAAAATATATGGTTAGTTAGTTGCGTATCCTGTACAGGACGTTGCAGAACCAACCCCAACAGTCCCTGGCTGTTGTGTGGTTTTATCTAGGCGAATTTACGTCCAGTAGTTTGCCATTGCTTTCTGGATGGTCGGCTTTCTTGATACCACTGTCGAAACCAACGCAAGGCGCATGGCCCGCAGCTGGGATCGAACCCGGCATCCCGGCATTACGAAGCGTTCGCATCGACTTAGCCACAAAGCTGACAAAAATATATAAAACAAGTCAAAACTCAGACTTTGTTTCGGAAGATGAGACAAGTGTGTAAAGGGAAGCATGTGGGAGAACATAGCTGATGTCGCACGTTTAGAAGCCGTGCCGTACAGCAAAGATAGATGCTTGAACTCGACCGGAGTGTCAACCACGAGACGTGTAAGTGCACAGGTTCCTCACTTCGTAAGTCCGTGTTTATTATATTCAAATGTGAATGTGCCTCCAACCCAACACTCAACTGAATGAGAGAAGCTGCTGGCAGATCTTGCTGCCGAACGACAGGTTTTGTGTTTGAATCTTCCCAGTGGCACAGATATGACTTGAATGAACATATTTTCTTTATCTCCTCCTCCTCCTCCTCCTTCTTCTTCTTCTTCTTCTTCTTCTTCTTCTTCTTCTTCTTC